GGTGATTTTGTTTGTGCCTTGGAGTGCTAGTCCTTGTCAAGAAGGCCAGGCCAAGTTTGGCCAAACAAATAAAAATGGAATTTATGTTGGGTTGGGGAATCAAATTCTCTCACTTAGTGGGATGAGATGATATCATGTGTATTGCTTGCTGTTCATGGAAAGTTTCTATCTTTGTCTCTTTAAGATTGTGCAGAGTCCATTAGAATAGAAACACTGTAAATTCATGTAGCAGCTCTAATAATCCTAATTATTTCATCTTTCAGCATATAACTTATAAAATTTCTTTCATAAAGAGTTCCAAATCAGTATTAAAGAACGCCATGTGACCAACTGTCATAAGTTGCATTTTGATTCTTAAACTTGTACCCTTAATCCATGTTTACTTGAAAAGGAAATGGAAATGAGTGGTTGAGAATCGTTCTTTCATTTTCAAAGATCCCAACACTTTAAAGTGGAGAGCCAGGAATGTCGTTGTCATTCTCTTATTTTGATGGCTACAATTTAATGTCAATAATAATTCTAAACTAAAGTAAACCATACCAATGATCCCCTTTATTCCAATTCTGGTTGTAGAGTATTATTAAACACATTTTCTAAATTTTTATCACCATCACATGATTTTTCTTCTTATTTAATTTATTTTTCCATGGCGGCCAAGCATTTCCACAATACCAATTATAATTTAATATGGGATACGCATCCACTTTACTTGTACCTATACAATACAATTGCCAATTTTCTATTGTTGCAGTTAAAATAAGCGACTGTGACAGTGACACATTGTTTTGACAAACAAATGGGAAGAGAAATTTTCTATCAAAGAGATAAACTTCATTATTTTATATATGTATATAATTTATATAAATGTGTTTAGAACTTATCAAACCACCTAGCATCCCTTATCTCTCATTAATTAATAGTAGTGGCCCCAAGCCCCAAAGCCATTGACTGATCTCAAGACTGAAAAAAGCATCAACAGGATTCCCAACTGCGCAGACACAACGAAGGATGTATATCTTAAAAAGAAAAAGGTTTATTTTTTAAAATTCATCATTTTGATCTGTTGGCAAAATTTTATCACAAACTTACGTACAATGAATATCCTTTAATATATGGTTATAAATATATTGAGTGTTCGTGTTGTGTTGAAATTGTAATAAAAAACAAGATAAAAAGATAAGATGAAGAGGCCAAAAATATAACTTTTTATTTTTTATTTTTAATACGGAAAGGTCAAAGAACGAATTATAGGTATAGTGACTAAAATAACATTTTGAGTAACAGCTATAAGTTAAACCATTAAACCATAAGCAGCATAAGCAGGATAAATAAAGTTGAAGAGAGATCCTTAAGATTAGATCAGCTGCTAAGTGAGCATGAAAATGTGGTTTTGATATGCAACAGCAATACCTTTCTTCCAGATTAGGGAATGATGATTTGAAAATGCAGAATCAAATCAATGCAAATTTATGCTGTTTTTTCTGTTGTTGAGATCTCAATCTTATCTGACATTGTAATAAGATTTAATGAAGTAGGGTTCTGATTAACCACCTCTGGTTCAAACATAAAATAATGACTGGTAGATTGTATTCGATGAGCATATATCTCTTTAATATTATTTTTTCGTCGAAATAACTCAAAAATATTATTTAAATTGAAAGTCAACGTGAACTTAATTCAGTGTAATTGGTACATGTATTTAACTAAGAAGTCACGAATTTGACTCCCACACTCTCAATCATTGTACAATGTATTTGTTGATGCTGTAAATTTAGCCTCCTCGATTCTCGTCAAATGTGCACCAAGCTCGATAATCACGGGACCGAATACCTGTAAAATCGAATAACCCTAACCAGGTGTGACTTCAGTCACACTGGCACTGATGTCAGCGATGAGAGAATTACTAAGTGAAGTACTTAAGGTTTATTTGCCTACCTTGAGGGTTTATCTAGTGGTTTCATTTGTAGGAGTCTCGCCTTCTGGAATCTTCTCATTGAGCTCATCTATCTGTCATCACTGAATCACAGGAATTCGTGGATCGGGACACCTTTCCCAATGGGAGAGGAGAGAAAGTGTGCTCGGCCCGATCAGCGCTGAATCGGGGTCGGGACCGAACCCCAACTCGCTCGATCTGTCGTTGGGTTCGGACCTCTCTGATCTATAGAGGCCCATTTCCTTACCGGATACAATCCCATAACATTATTCAAAAAAGTTAATTAAATTGGAAGAACTATGAAAGACTAATTATCTAGCTTGACACTAATTTTTTTAATTTAAAAATTTTCAATTTTGTAATTTGTATTTTAGTAAATTGTAATTCCATATATTTTTTTCTGTCCGTAAATATTAAGATTTGCGGACTATGAAGATACTTAATTAGTTGACTGAAAATTGAAGAAAAAAATTAGGTCACCTCGAAAATTTTATTAACTTTTTTTTTTCTTGAAATTGGGAGTGAGATTCAAAATTTTATTATCTTTTTTTTACAACCAATGAGATAGGGAATTCGAACTCATGACTACTTGATACAAATACCAATTATCGTTGAATTAAGTTCATCGGGCAAAAACTTTATTCTAATAAAAAATAGTATAATTTGCCGTCACAATTCATGCTTCTTCAGCTAAATATCTTGTTCAGTAGACTTATTACTAACCAATTTTGACATTCAATGACATAAATGATATAATTGGAAAGAATAAAAAATAAAATATGAGAAAAAGTAGAGGCTGAGTTTGGGAAACAAAAAATATATAAACATAAAAGCATATAGTCGATTGAAGTTTAACAAAGTATGTGTTTGGTTTTCCAGAAAGGTATTTGTACAACCTTAACCAAAAAAATAAAAATAAAAATTGTTTATTTGTTCGGTAACCTACCCTTTAAATTTGTAAAAACAGTCTTCGAATCTTTAAAAAAAAAAAAAGCTCAGATTTTAAAAATTGTTTCAAACACAAGAA